AGGCAGAGACAAACCGAAGCCTGTGTTTCCAGGTGAACCCTTCAAGGTGTTCCCGCCCCAAGTCAAGCTGCCACATGACTCAGGCTGGACCAATCACAAACTCTCTAAAGAAGCTGTAGGCCCCTGACTCACTGCTGTGTAATTCAGCCTTCTGCTCTTCCCTCCTCGACCCCTCCCTGCCCTAAGGCTCAGCTCAGTCACACTCAGGAGTCTTCGTTAAGCTCTACCCCCCATCTCCTCCTGTCAGGGAGCATCGTCTTCTCCCAGCCCACTCCAGCAGCTGGTCCAAGCTCTCACTGGCAGTGATGGGCCACAGAGCCATTTTCTAGATCACGGCTTCCCAATTATGATTTATATATAGCTTATAATTTTGCAGCTGTTATGCATCAGAACGGATACTTTGTGCAACTGAGTGGGACTCCTACCATGTTTCCAAGGCTAACTGATTGGAAGGGAGCCAAGTGAATGACATTTAGCCAGGATAATGCAAAGTCCAAAATGACTGAAGAATCATTATGCAAGTAGCAGATGTGGGAGGGATCCCTGGCTGGACAGGGGCTCAAGGGAAAAAGCGCACATGGCATTTTCAAGAGAATAATGCTGCGACCTCAAATGACTTTAGCATGAAGACTACATTACTAGAGATAGAGTTTCCAGAAAACTGGAGAGGAAAGTGCCTTGAACTGGACCCTGTCAATCAACACAGAATCCCACACATCAAGAGGGACAATGACAAATTAGTGCATCCATGTGAAGATGGCCTAGGTTAATGGAAAACCACAACACCTGTAGGCATTCATTGCAGCTCCCAGAGAAGCCAAGAGCCCTGTATGCAGGTGACTGTGGGGAAGGGGAGGGGAAATGGAGGAGAGAAGCCACAGGAAGGCCCTGTACTAGGAGGAGGAGCCTACTGGGGCTCAGGCACAGCTTGTCTCCAGGCCAAGAGGTGGGGCAGGACAGCAGGACCTGAGAGATTAAGGGGATCTAGAAAAGAAGACCCTGGCTTTCTAGCCTGGGAGAAGTCTCCTGGCAGCTGAGAGTCAAAGGGGAATTTAGGGATGGGTGGGTGGACAGATGGCCAGCAGCTAAGAGCACTTGTGGCTTTTGGAGAGGATCAGGGTTCAATTACCAGCATCCACACAAAGCAGCTCACAACCACCTGGCAGGGCCTGCGTCACCATCATTACTGTGACCTCCTTAGGAGTACCCAAAGACTTCACCTGCCCAAATCAGGGCTTGTACAGCTGCTGGGCATGAAGCTCCTGGCTTCCAGGCCTTCTTTATTATACCAGCGTCCCTAGCTGTAGGCTTAGCAGGAAGGACAATTTGGAAATCCGCATTTGGAGGAGGGTTTCTACCATTCACCACCCCTGGGAGGCAGTGCTCCTCCTCAGGAAACCTGTGAGTGCTTACTTTACATATATATGGGCTGCTGGTCCTGGTTCTATAAGAAGGTAGGTTGAGCAAGTCAGTAAGCAGCACCTCTCCATCGCCTCTGCATCAGTTCTGCCTCCAGGATCCTGCCCTGTTTAAGTTCCTGGCCTGACTTCCTTCAGTGATAGGACTACAATGTGGAAGTGTAAGCCACCTAAAAACCCTTTCCTAGTTGGACATGGTGGTGCATACCTTAGTCCCAGCCTTGGGAAGCAAAGGCAGGACAGCCAAAGATATACAGAGAAACCCTATTTTGAAAAAACAAAACAAAACAAACAGAAAACCCCCAACCCCCCTTTCCTACCCAGTTGGCATTTGGTTGCAGTGTTTCACAACTGTACACTAACTCTAAGTAGGATAGGTGGGGAGGGTTGCTAGAGGCAGACAGTCTAGTGAACAGGCCCAAGATAGGGAGTAGCAATCAGGTAGCTAGGGAACATGAATGCAAGGTGTTAGTGCCTGAGCATAGGAGAGGCCAGAGATTTTGACTTCTGAGCATTCTGTCTTTGGGAGTCATGTGGTGGGGAGAATCTTTTTAATCAGCACAGGCAGGTCTCTGAGGAGCCAACTCAGTGACTTGGGCCCTTTGGGAGCAAGGATGAGGGTGGGCCCGGCTCAAA